AGGCTACCTGTCCTTGCTTACACTCTCTGTACGTTCTCTTTGTGTATCTAAGTGCATCCAGGAGCAGCTTGTTCATGCAGGCTGGCCTCCTGGCATTCTTGCCTGCCCTCCTCTTTGTTGGGACACCCTGTTCCTGGTCTTGAAGGAGGTGGTCCTTGAACATTGACCAGCTTTCTAGGGCCCCTCTCCCCTCCAGGGCTTTATCGCAAGCTACTCTACCCAGCAGATCCCTGACTTAAATTAAACAGTAGATTAATTAAATTAAACATTAGATTAAAGAGTCATCCTCCTATTAGTGATTGAAATCATATTTCTTTTGCTACTAAAGGTATTTTAACAGAAGATCCTGATGTCTGTGCTCATGTACTGGTACAGTTACAAGCATGGATCAGTATTAATTAATATTAACTGTGTGAATATAGGCAAGCCAGATAAACTACACTTATTTTTAAACTGAAAGCCATCAAAAGTGAGTTGTTGCCTTTTAAATAGGAGTTTGATGTGTAGGATGATGCTAATGCACATCCAGGTAAATCAGTGATTAAGATACAATAATTGCAAGAAAGCTACAATAAGGAGTGTAGCTAGCTGCAGTATGAGAATTCTGGTATGTAATGTTAGAAGAGTTTTTTCTAAGGAGGCATTGTTTTCTCAGAAAATCCAAGCTTCCATTTGCTGTCTCCTTTTTTTTTGTCTCAAGTGCAATTAATAGTGTGTCTCTCTGAAGAGGAAGAAAATAATGTTTTGAATCCATTTATGAAAAGCTTTCTTAGTGATGTTATGTACACTTCTCAGATTACTGGCAAATTAAATTTAATGAATGAGGCTTGGGAATATTTATTAAAATCAATTTTTAGTTATGTATAAAATGTTTTTTGTACTGATTGAAGACAAATGAAATTTTTTTCTTCCACTGTAGCTGAGAAATTAAACTGAAGAACAGCTTTACTAATGTAACTTAAAACAGATGTGGAAGATGGGAGAGAGAGCTAATTCCAGAGGTGTCAAGTAATATCTAATATGTGATATTTTCTCATATGATTAGTCAAATCATTTTAACTATGAAATAGCTCACCTCCTACAAGACTGCTTGCAGAAATTATGTTGATATATCTACCATTGTGGAAAACTTCCAAAATGAGTTTATCTACAACTATTCAGTGCGCTGTCCTCCAAACAGCCCTCACATTGCTTATCTTTTTGGCTTTGGTGGAATTCAAATATGGTCTTTCCAAAGTGTGTGGAGACGATAAAGTTTGATATTTAATTTGTAAAGTCCTTATGGAAGAGAGCATGTAATTAGACAATACTTCAGAGCCTGTATGTATACTGCTTTACATAAGTTTTATTGTAGAGTTGCTTGTGCTACAGTAGTGAAATATCTAGGGCAAAGGGAAGTTAGACTGCAGCGATTCTATCCTTTGTAATAGTCATAGTTTCTAAGTACATTAAATGACCCATTAGTTACCAAGTTATTTGAGAAGATTCTTGAAAGGCATCACTCATAGCTGAATTGTTACTTGAGCTGAATAACAGTAGAAAAAGGAAATCTAAAGCTATTCTGCAAGGTGTGAATTTCTGATGGCATAGTGATAACAGATTTTTCTTTTCTAGGTTAGTCTTCACTATCGGCTCCAGATGACTTTGTCCTGTTGTTTGTAAAGGTATGTGTACTTCCTTTGTGAAAGTGTTGGCAAAATCTACTGTGATTTTAAAATGCATCTTTGCAGCTTTTTGTTTTTTGGGCTTTGACAGCCATACTTAGAGTGTATTTCTCAGGTGATTTCTAACTTAGTGGTTTATTCTTGATCTAGCATTGCTTTGCATCCATGTAAGATGGAATGTCAAATCTCTCCTTGCTTCTTTGAGGTGATACAGCATGTCAGCGCAGCCAAAGGCCTTGTGCCTCTGACACATGCACTGAATATCTGTCTCTCATGCTGCATAGTTTTGCCGATCATTGTACCTTTCCAGATCATCTCGTGAAGTCTGCTGAAGAGCAAGGTCTTCCCACAGACCTTCGTATTGGTTTGGGGGAAAAAAAATAGAGGGTTGTGTTTAATCAGTCATATGCTGGACATATTCTTGGGGCAGTGCTGTCTTTTAGTCTGCCTGGAAAATCCATTGGAATATCCTAGGTACGTCACTGGTCTTGGTGACTTGCTGTCCTCTAAAACATTTGAATTTAGAAAAAAATGGGTTACAAATTGTATGATGTTTTCTGAACACTTGCTTTTCTAAAGGAACTACTTTGTTTGTAACTTCAGCATCTGTTGTTAGATGTCGTCTGTTACTGAAAATGGAGATGTTACTGCTGGAAAGCCAAATGAAGAGAAAACATATAAAAAGGTAAATAAGCCTTACAATCTTTTTATTGCATGTTTTTCCCCTGATGTTGGTAATTAAAACCTGCTATAAGTGAAATAGGCTAATATTACAGAACTGACTAAATGCAAGAACAAACAAAAAACATTCCAGGGAATTTTTTTAAGTACTATATTCCTTCTGTGAAATCATAAGACATTTCTATCTACTGCAGAACTGACTGTTTGAAAGATTGTCCAATCTTTCGAAGTATACACTTTTGCTAGACTGGTGAAAATTCTTTGCTCTTAGCAACAGATGCACCTCTGGGCATAAACATTGTTGTCAGAAATTGAGTACAGTAAGTTCCCACATGCTTTGAATGTTTATGTGATGTGTCTGGACTACAAACATACCCTCCATGTCCTCAGTGCTTTGCCTAACAGTACACTTTTTGTTTGCTTTGTTTTTTTGAAAAGAAATGTTATTTAAGAGAGGACATTTAACATAGGAGCATGCATCAATAGTAGCAGCATAGGTCTAATTAGATGTTGTAACAGTTACTGGTACTGGTTTTGGTTGTGGTTTTCTGTCACTGATTGTTTGGACTGGCATTATTTAGGCTCACCTAGCACTGTGATAACTAAGGGGAGCTATAAAAGCACATTTTTCTACACATATTTGCACAAGCAAATTGTTAGGTGTCAGATTTTATAATTTTCCTGGCAAATCACCTCAAAGAAGTGGTGACTTTTTTTTTCTTAGTTTCTGTAATCTAGCACAGAGATCCAGATGCTCCTACATTATGTATCAAGAGTTAGGATTTTTAATTTCTGAGTGTTGCTTACAGCACTGTTGGTGAAGTCAAGAATAATAATAATAATAAGCTGTTTATTTTCCCAACCCTTTTGCTGGCAGCTACATTTTCAGTATGTATGTGGCTTTACCATTCCACATAATTTTCTCAGAAATGAAAGAAAATTATGTTTGAGAAAATGTTTGGTTTTTTTTTTTCTTTTTTATAGGTTATGTTTAGCCTCTCAAGTTATGACTTTAAAATATTGAAGTCTAACTTGTTCTTGTCATTTTGGGAAGGGAAGAAAAGCTCAGGTAGACACTTTTGCAGTTTCGTATTGCTAGAATAGGCAGGAGAAATGCTGGTAGCCCCACCACAGGTGAGTTTCCATTGTCCCCAGTCATCCTATATTCTCCTCTCTATTCCTGTTCAACTCTAAATTAATAATATTCCAGAGGAAGCCTTGTAAAGACTTCTCACCATGTCACAAATACCTCTGTCTGTTTACTGGAAATATATCTCTGACAAAGCCTAGGATTCACAACCACAATGCACTGGGAGATCACAGTAACTATCACTATTCTGCCCTTTCCCCTGAACCACAAGTTGTCTGTACTTGTATCTTATGTGAGTTTAATGCCTTTTCTTGCACTTACACTCTCAGTTGTTTTGTGTTCGAAATCCTGCTTTGCATATGCATCATAGTTTAATGTGCTCCTGCTTTTTATGATATTGCTCATTAAAAAATTAATACATTCTGATACCACGGTTTTGTCCATGCAGGGCTTACTGGTACCATTTTTTTTGCCTGATGCTTTCACTTATCTCTCCTCTTAAAGCAAATTCCTTACAAGCCTTGCACTTCATGTTAGTTCTCACCTTCTTCAGATATTCCATGTAGCATTGTTTCATATTTTTTACAGGAGTCCAGATAATCACCTTGGGTCTAGAAAGCCAGTTACAGAGTGAGCCTGTCATGACCTGTGTTTGACAGGGGCATTTTGTGCCATTTCACATTTAATTCCATATTTGTAGGTAACTTTCATAAGGCGATGCTGCTCTGTTCAAGTCTTGTTTACACTTAAGACCTGCCTGTCTTTTATTGCCCACATCACTTCTCTTCACTCTTCTACACAGGTGTGGCATTTACAGTTTTCCAGTCACGCTTTGTTGCACGTGGTCTGTCTGGCTGGAAAATGCTCCCAGCTCTGTCCTGTGACTTCCTGTGCCACTTCCTACAGAAATCTGGGCCGTGACAGAGTTTGTTTCCTCAGCTGGTGACTTTTCAGCTACTTTGGCAGTTCCTGTTCCCATCTACCACTGCCCTTGATCACAGTGGAAACACTTAGGCAAGAGACTCATGTAGTTCTGAAGTCAGACCATGCTTGTTAACCCATTCTCGTTGCTCAGAGACTTCACTCAAACAAACAAACAAAACAAAACAATGCAACATAGTAAAAGTGAAGAAGCCTGTACTATTCAGCATGGAAAAGCAAAGGACAATACCTTGGCTTGAACTGTGGCAAATCTGTTTTTTACTCTGCTTTGTTTTGACCTCTGATGTATAACACAAGGGCAGCTGTATACCTACTGTTAAGATGGGACTGACTGAGCTTATGAAGGACAGTGTGGCATCGGACCTGTGGTACTGGTGTCTGTCTTTGACCTGAAATATTCTTGCCAGTCATGTGCTCCCTTGAAAAGGTCTGATAGCCAAAGAAGTTGTGTCATGAGATGTGGGCATGGAGGGTTTCAATGGAGCAATAGTAGAGCTGGAAGCAGAAAGACTAACTAGCAGGTAGTCAGAAACACAGACATGAGAAAAAATTTTGTAATGTCAGCTTTCATATGGATTAATCAGGAGATTTCTAGTGATAATTCTGGGAGATCCTCATTCTGAAATGTGACAGCAGTTTCAGTCTCAACTCCACCCCAGGTAAAATGTCACTGTCACAAAGCAGAGAGATTAATGTAGGAAGCATTAATGTCATCTTGTCATCGTCTCCTGTCATGAGACCCCCTGGTTCCACATGAGGACTCAGTAACTGTCATCAGCTGTGTTTTGATCCTAACATTAAAATCTTCCTTGGGTTCTCTATCTTCTCACAGGGCAAAATGCCAGTGTGCCTCCTTTATCCTCTACCAGCAATTGCAAGGGGGCTTGCTTTGATTCAGGATCTGCAGTCATTTTGTGGCAAAAAGTACATGATACTCAGATGCATGTTGAAGTATCTATAATGCCCAAAATAAATGAAATCTTTAGGGATAAGGGATGCATTGATACTGCCCTGCTGATGGTTACCTTTTCCTTACTTGGTGTGGGAGATGAGGGACTGAAACCTCCAATCTGATCTAGAGAGCAAAATAGCCCTTTGTTTTAAACAATTTTGCATTTTGCTTAATTATATCTAGTGTCGATTCATCTTTCATAATAGCATGCAAAGATTATATCTGTGCAGCTTTAGTCATGTACATAAACGTTACATAGAAACTAGAAAAGTGATGAATGGAGAACATCTGCTTTGTGATGTAAAACGCAATGACCTGTAAGAGAAAAAACGTCTTGGCTTTAGAGGCGTTTTCCTTGTGCCAGATTCAGTGACAGATAAGCCTGACTAATCAGTATATATTTATTTGCTTTATTTGTAAATGTAAGTATCCCTTTTTAAGAACTGAATTGTCTTGTAAGAGACACTTGTGGGGAAATTATGAAAAATAATTGCAATTCCTCTATTTTTTTTTTTAATCAATCTGTCTTATGCAAGTATAAACAAATTAGTAGTTTTGTCTTGGCGACAAAGGTGGTTTTTATCTAGCGTGAATGAAACTGCTTGCCTTAGCCAGGACAATCTGTCCCACAGGGATGAATGATGACGTACTAAAACACATCTGCATCAGAAAACAAATTCTTTCTAATGACTGTTTGAAGAAAAACAATTTTCTGCTGGGGCAGAGCCTTCACTCTCTTTTCCTTGTGGGTCACTCCTCCTTACTTCTGAAAACTCCAGAAAGGGCAATGTAGATACTGCTCTGAGTAGCAGCTGGACTGGACAGACTAATGTTGAAAGAACACAGAGCTGCAGTTGCACCTCTTGACGTAGGACTCAGTTGCTGCAGCAGATGGAGAATGAGTGGGAGCTAAAGACTGCTTTATCCACTCGCTCTTCTGATGTTACCTCTTCATTCTGTAATTCTGCCTTCTGGACACATTCATATTGTCGGGGTGTGCACTGCTGAGGCCAATGTCATCTACTGTGTCTCATCTCTGAGGACTAGTAAGACTGTGACGAATTAATTTGTAGCTCTGTGCTAAGAAAAAGCATCTGAATCATTCACTGGTAAAAACAGGCAGTCCTCAAACTGTGTTTGTCCCTTCTCTGGGTGTATGCATCAGTGTACTTTGGCCTGCTGTAACTCTTCAGCATAGTTTGTCCTTTGGAAAGTTCCCAAAGAGATTGTCTGTTCATCCTTGGGGGGGAAAGGAATCTTGTCAATAACAGAAAAATTTATTTCTGACCTCTAGTGTCTCTGTGGTGCCGTAGCAATATGTTCCAAACATGACTTGAATCTGAGTAGATGAGTTATAAGAGCTATCTGTGTATTTAAAAGTCTCTAATAATGACTGTTTTCATTGCTTTTAAGTTCAGCTCAGTCTGGTAAAATCAAACTTTCTCCAGGAAAGCATCTCTGACTTCATCCAGGACAAAGCTTTCCACATAATAAGTAATCTCTAGGCCTGTCAGTTACATTTCTGGCACTTTAGATGCTTCCAATATTTTCTTTATTATTTTGCTCAGCTCAGCTAAAACAGAGGCGGGTAACCTCTATATGTGAATTAATTAAATCTCCTTTTCTTCAGTTTCCTTCAATAGTCTATAAGTTTTGGCCCACTTCACTGTCAGAACAAAAACTGACTTGCTAGCTGCAGGAATGTAAATACCTTAGAGGTCCATGAAAATGTCTTGTATTACTAAAAGTTTTTGCAAGGCCTTTCATAACCATTGCTGCAACATCCTTTCAAACTCTGAAATGCATAACTAGACCAAGACAGTGGCACAGTTTCTATTATGAATCATGCTTCTTCATTCAGCTCTAATTTATTTTATTTGTTTTTATTTTTAGCTCTCAGTTTTTCTGCTACTGCAATCTGACATAAATACTGTTCTGGCTTCTACTTGCCTAATATTACTTAGTCAAAGTTCTTGAGAGGTGATGGAACATAACTTCTGGGGTTTCTTTTTTTGTTTGG